CTACTGAGGATGTGTTTGTAGTGACACTAATTATATTGATATAAGGAGATGTGATGAATCTTAATGACATACCTAAGGGCTAAGATTCCTAGTAGGAGAAACAACTCAAATGTGACCCCTTTGCCCTTTAAAAGATGCTTGATGTTCCTTTATGTACAAATCTTGGAAGCATTACAACTACGCACTTATAATTAAGCAAATTATATTAGTGAATTACAATTAAATAAAAAAATCAAGCACTGTGAAGTAGAATTATTCAGACATTTCCCCCCCCCAAATTACAGCATGTATTCCCATAGTAAAAAATAAATGTCATTAATCACCTAAGTTGTCCTGATTATTGTACGTGCTAATTTTTGCCAGCTATGACTTGTAAAAGGAGAATATCTCACTGAACATTTTTCACTTGTTATGCAGGCAGTACAGGTTTCTAGAACTAGCAGTTCAGATTTAATAAAAGCTGCTGTTCTGCATGTTCATAATGTATTTCTTAGAGGCACAGCAAGCTCCTGAAACTCTGGTCTTCCCAGAGTCATATTCACTTACATGTGCTTGGCTGCAATAGTTCTTCATAGTTTATCACATGAGGCCCTCCCATCCTTTAAGAAAATGATATGTGGTTGTAAAAGAAGGAGAGGCTTCTTATGGCTTCTTATGGTGTGGACCAGGAGCTTGCAACACAAATGATCAGAAGAAATTGTCCCAGGACCTGTCTTGGTTTTGACCCAAGTTTTTCTGTGGCCCCAAATTAATGGGGGATCTAAGGGAGCTAAACTCAGTGGGACAGCAGGGGAAAGCATTGGGATGAGGTGAAAGTCCAGGCAGGTCTTGCAAAGCTGTGGAGCAGAAGATCCACACAGAACCAAGAATCACAGCTCAGAACTCCGGCCTCCTGCTCACCACAGAGGCACAGCACATTGCTCAGCAATGCAATGGAACTTACTGTTGGAGGAAGGATAAAAAGAAGAAAAGAGTTTATAATTTCAGATTGTGCTAGTTTGTTTTTTTCCTTATCACTAACCTTGGGGGCAGATACTTAAAGGCACAGCAGGTTCAGGGAGCTCAGAGTTCTCTGGGGGCAGCATCTTCCCTTTCAAAGGACAGAGCTTCTCTTTGAACCCTGGGGAATTGAGACAACCGTGTGACTTGGCAAATCTGACCCTGATGCTTGTTGGGGCTGGTGTCAGCCACGAGGAGCAGCTCAGTGTGCTGTGATGAGTTCAACAGCTGCCATCCCCACCAATAAATCAGTGACTTCCTGCTCTGGTTTACTCTCTGTCTATCATAAGTCACTTCCCACAAGGATCCAGACCACATCAGTGTCAACAATGTAAAATCTGCATCATTTTTGCACCAGTGCTTTGCTGCTTTAGCATGGGTCCACCCACCAAGGTGCCCCAGACACTGAAGCCCCTGGGTGACCTGCAGGGTGGAGGATGGGTTTATAGGTTATAGCCACTTACAGAAGTTGCTGATGATACTTTGCACTCCAGGAGAGTTCAGTTGTCATTCAGTGATATGGAAGGTTAAAATCACCTCAACACTGTAAGCAGTTTGGGGACTGGATCATTTCCAGGCTCTCCGTGCAGCACCCAACAAAACAAATTGCTTGACAGGGATTTCCACACATATGGCAATACAAATAAAGCAATAAAACCATCGAATATAAACTACTATTAAAGAAGAAACTCTGCCCTCTTTGGCTGCTGTGCTGGAGGATAAGGCAGTCCCTGACAGGCAATAAAGGCTGCCTGGACCTTTAAGAGCTGCTGTTGCCAGTTCAGCTCTTCCTGGGACCTTTGGAGCAGCGCAGGGTGGAAAGCCTGAGCTGACTGCGTGCGAGGTGAGCTCTGCATGCCTGATCCTCAACTGCATCCTGCAGCTCTGGGTCAGCCCCTCTGGGAAAGCTCCCCCTGTGAGCCTGCACAGCCTGTGCACAGCACTGCAGGTGTATTAGCAAAGCACAGACTACAGGAACCGAGGCTGATGGTGAGTGAAGGGCATTTTTAAGTGCAACACCGAGTGTTTGAGAGTGAAACTAACCCTTTATTTTGAGCCAGAGTGTGTGAAAAATGCAGGTATTGACTCACAGTGTAACTTTGAATCAAACAAACAATGTGGGCATGTACAAGAGGATCCAGCCTTGTAACTCGCTCCTGATTCTCAGCAGAGAAGAACTGATCCTAATATTCAGCCTAATTACAAAAGGACCCAGTGATCCCGAGGGACATGTGCAGACAGGCAGAACCAACATCTGAATCTCGAAGCTGCAGGAACACTGAGCAAAGCTCAGCTGCTGCAGGGGCAGAAGCAAACAAGGCTGAGATCTGGACTGAGGCTTGGGATATTTGGCAACTCAGTTTTGGAATGCAAATTATCCCCTGGGAGAGGGCTTGCTCACTGCTGCAGCCTCCTGGCTCACACAGCAGCAATGGCTGTGCCAAGGAAAAATCTGCCTGCAGGAAAGGCAGGGAGTAAACACTGATTTATGTGGATGCTCCCTAATGTCAATGATGTTGTAGTGCAGCTTTATTGTACTTAAACCTCTTTAAGTATTCATTGAGATTAGAGCACATGTTGTCAGCCACTGCAAGGCTGTCTCTGAAGCAGACTTTAAATTGATGAGGCCAGAGAAGGGACAGCTGGGGAAACTGAGGCATGGAAGGGAATTTTCCAAAAGGCTTTCCCAATATATTTTCCCAAAGCCTCACTGGCAGCGCCCCATGGGGGCTCTCCATGGCTGGATGAAGGGAGCTGGTTTTATTCTGTGCTTTCACCATATAATGGGGCACTCCAGACCCAGGAGATGGGTTACAGGGGGAGCATTAGGCCTTCTGCTCTGACCCAGGGCAGGGACTGATCTGGTTTTGCTTGAAGGTAAATTCCAAGCGTGTCAGACCCACAAAGCTGATGCACTTCTCTGGACTCCTGCAGGTCACAGAGATTCAGCTCCACACCCTCATGGGGCAAAGATGTTTCTATCTTCCTATGTAAAACAGCTGAAAGTGGGAGGAGAAGGAAAAATGAGGCAGAGGCCCATAGGGTGAGCCTGCCCACCACGTGTGCTGTGTGTTGGGGGAAATGGCTTTTTACAAGTGTTTCCAAGGAGATCCTGCTACAGATGAGGCCCTTGTCCTAAAAAAGGGATGGAAAAAAAATCATAAAATGCAGTATCAAAGAGACATTACTGTTTTTTCATGTAGACTCTGGTTCCTTTTGAAGTGATAATGTTTATTTGTTATTCCCTTACTGGGATGATCTTCTATTCTACCAAATTTTCCTGTGGTTTGCATTAGCCAGTCTGAATGTTGGTACTAGTGCAGATCAGGAACAACACAACCAAATCATGTGAGTTGTGCTGCTGGCATCAAGATTGGGGTTAAAGTCTAGAGATTAGGCCACTGGATGTGCTCATCTGCTTGGGTGGGGGCATTTCCACCCATGGATTTGAGGTGGGATTTTCACAGGCTTCTGGCATGGACATGGGGTCAAACTGCTGGGAGAAAACAGTTGGAGCAAAGCTGAGAATATTCAGTGGAAGGGAGTTTGTCCCATCTCATCCACATCAAAGGGTTTTTGGAAAATCCTACCAGGGAATATTCAACCAGTTGAAGGAAGCAAGAAATCCTCAGACTTTCTGGAAATTAACACAGCCCTTAACAGATTGTGAATTGTTCTGGACAACAAATATCCTTGCATGGAAAAAAGCCAAATTAAATCTAAACTAAGGGCAAAAGAAACCCTTGCAGAGAGAAGATGAGTCACTGAATTAAAAGTCTTACAGGGAACCTTTTGCATCTTGGCCACACAACCAGTGCCAATGACAGTGTCTTTCTGCTAATGAAAGGGGATCAGAGACAGAAAAACACAAAATATTTCCAATAATTTGATCTGAAACTAAAGCCTTTAGTTTGTAAAAGATGATCAAAGAAAAGAAAAGATTATTACTTGCTTTGTATGTACTTTTAGATCAATTCCTTTGATCCTTAGGTTAGAAAAATTGAAGTCCTTTCCTTTCACAGTCAAAGCCCTGTCTAAACTCCTCAGGGAAATTTAAGAGATTAAGAAAACAATGATCTACTTCACATGGAAACCTGTCTGAAATGGTGGCACACTGAGATGTTAATCCCAGTTAACTTAATCCATGAATGCAAAACCTTCCAGTTAAATTACCTGTGGGATAAAGAAAGAATTGCTTACCTGGTACAGTAAAAGAAACAGTAAGATCTTGCTGTGACTTTTATGGTGTGGCAGCTTTTCTGCAAACCTGTTGTTTCTTGATTTTGGGAAAATTTTGTTATGTGCTATCCTCCTATGTGGCCATAGATTCTGTTATGGCATGTGCCGTGTCTTCCCATGGGAAAAACATCCTCCTGGTTTGAAGGCAGCCCCTAAGAGAGGGGAAGCATTATTGCCACCAGCTCCTGTCCCTGTCTCTTTTTAAAGAAATACTCAAAATTCTTTTAAATCCTCAATAAAACAGCCCAGTTTACATTTGCAGGCTGGTTAACCTGTGCTACAGAAACAGGAGTGAACCCCTTGTCAGCTGCACAGCAGTAACTGGCTACTTTTCTGCTCCCACAGGGAAAATGAACATTCAGGAGTATTTTGGAAGAATATCTTACAACAAGCCCCATAAGGATGCAGACTTGCAAACCCTGACAGCCATCTTCCAGCATCACATCCACAGCATTCCTTTTGAGAACCTCAGCATGCACTGTGGGGAGCCCATTGAACTGGATTTGCAGGCTATTTACAATAAGATTGTGAGAAAGAAACGTGGTGGGTGGTGCCTGGAAACCAACTATCTCCTCTTCTGGGCCTTGCAAGAATTAGGGTATGATGTCTGTATTCTTGGTGCAAACAGCTATGAACCAGCAGAGAAGGGATATGGTGCTCAGATGAACCATATCCTGCTGAAGGTGGTGGTGAAGGGAGAGCCTTACATAGTAGATGCAGGGTTTGGTGGGGCCTACCAGATGTGGCAGCCGCTGATGCTGATTTCTGGGAAGGACCAACCCCAGGTTCCTGGCATTTTCCGCTTCATGGAAGACAACGGCACCTGGTACTTGGAGAAAGTCAAAAGGAAGCATTGCATTGCTGAGCACAGCAAGGATGACTTCCCTCATACTCCAGAGCTGGGGAATATCCGAAAAATACAAAAATTTACCCTCGAGCCACGGCATATAGATGACTTCCAGGAGCTGAATGCATACCTCCAAGTGTATCCAGATAACCTCCTTCGGAAGAAGTCAATCTGCAGTCTCCAAACCACCAATGGGGTCCTTGCCTTGGTTGGATGGACCCTCACTGAGATGAAGTACAACTACACAGAGGACATGGACATGGTGACCACCACAACCCTTACAGATGAAGAGGTTGAGAAGACACTGAAAGATAAATTCAGTATAGAATTGGAGAACAAGCTTGTACCAGTAAATGTTCGTGGCTTGCCACCTAATTTAGTGGATAAGATCTAACTGTAACTCTCTGCTAGATGGATCTTTAAATAGCCAAGAGGAAAATTCTAAAATTAACATTAATTACAATAATCTCATTTTTAACTTGAGCTAGTCACAAAGCTTGGTAAATTCCAGTACATTGCTAATTAACTGCATATATCAATTGCATATTTTTTTATTAAACCTCTCCTTCTTTAGAAACCAAGACATCTTACTAGCTCTGTTTTGCTCATATGGAAGTTTTTGGTTTTTGATAAGGTTTTTGACTCCTTAACTTTTTTTTTCACCTTCTCAAGAACTCATTTTATTGCAGATATATTTTGTGGCAAATGAGACCAAAATTATGCAGAAGGAGAGGTTGTGTTACCATTTTACACAAAAGACCTCTAACCTTTTTTGGCATTATTTCCAATCTTTTACAAATTATTCACTTATCTTAACAGTCTTATAGTTGAGCTGAATTTGGCTTTTAAATACTGTAGAAAAAAGAAAGGTTAAGACTTTCTCAAAACAAGCCACCATTAGGTGCTGATTAGCTTATGAAAAGTTGAAAGACTTAAGTCCTGTTTCCTTTGCAGAAACTGACTTAAAGTTAAGATATTTATCCAAGGGTACCTAAACCCTCCACAAAATCTCTCTAATTTTGAGTACCCTTTTTTTCTGATTTATCTGTGTCTCTGAATTCAATATAAAATCTGTAGATGAGATGATTCAACAGTTATTAAAAATCAGGCTTTTGGTATCAAAACTGGAAAAAAAGTTAGATCAATCTTCGCACACTATAATCTAAACTTTTGGGACCGTGCCTTCATGTGATGTCAAGAGGAGATGATAGTATTATAGATAAGATCTTCATATTTATTACAAACAGCATTCTGCACAAAACCTACCTTAAAAAGTGTGGATGCAAAAGAAAGCCCTGGGAAGTGAGGATGTGCCACCAGTGTGGTGTCACAGCAAGACACCCATGACAGAAGCCTTTTCCCTGATGATACATGTGGTACTGTACAGGACGTGCCATGAAAGAGGGTGACAGAAGAACATCAGCCAAGGAGAAGTCTTTGATTCTTGTCTTAATCAACCACACAGACCTACCTGATGTGCCTAAAACTCAGGTGCTTCCCCAGGTGCAGTCTAATGTGCTCTTTGCCTTTCCCAGAGGCCTCCTCTGATATTCCACCTCCATCCAATGAAGAAGGGACGGGCTTGACCGGGGAGAATTAAAGGAACAGCAATTAAATAAACAGCACTGCAACACTGTGAGGGTGCAGGAGGCCAGGTTTTAGAGCAGAAATGCATTACTTGATGCAAATAAATATTTACCATGGCATTCATTAGCTCCACAATAACTCCCTGCTACAGCTGAGGAGTTGAACAGCTTGAAACAGTTCCTGTGTGGGCAAAGAAGGGCCATTTGTGCATCCATGGAGCTCAGCCTGCAACACCTTGGCACCTCAGTGTACCCACCAGGGCACAGATGAACACCCTCCACTGCAAAGTGCTGGTTTACAAAATAACAATATTTAATTAAAAAAAGTTATAACGCCATCTGCAGCTGCCTACTGTAATTATTTTACATAGAAAATGAGTTAATTCTGGTCTTAACTAGGGGAAGGCATAAACATCTACTGATAGGAAGAAACAAAGTTTAATTTGCTCACGGATCAGTGAAGTCCAAAAATGTGAATTCTATTTGGGTGGACTCTGCCCTTTCTTGGAATTTAAGATTCAGGAGCGAGGACCAGCAGAGCTTAGAAAGACAACCCTCACAGTCTGTATCCACTCCTGGCTTCACTGACTGCTGCCCCTGTAATAAACCCCCCAGAAACGGAATACCTCAATAAATAAAAAGGGATCTCCGAAGAGGTAAGTTTATTTTCTTAAAAATCCCCTCCAAAGAAAGATACAAAACTCTGGTTTCTTTATGATGGTAAAGGTCATGGACAATAACGTAAGCAACATACTCTAGGAAAAATGTTCTAAAGATGTGTGGATATAGAGCTAAAATATCACCTGCTAAACAGGGGCTGTTAAAGAGGGCAAAACAGGGATGTGCAGTTTCAATTCTTCTACCTTTCACTCTTCAGGAGAAGCTTCACTATAAAATAAATTCCTTTGTTTAGGTACAATAGTACATATAAATTTAGAACTGCAACTTCTTGTTGGAAATCATGCTTTTAGATACTTGAATTTATTTAGAAGCATTGCAAGTACAAAGGAAGCAAAAGTTTAGTCTAATAATCAATAGATTCTGCTTTAAGGGAAAAAAATTACAGCTTTTTAAAAACAACATAAAAAATTACAGACTCTGGGTTGTACAACCCAGGACATCCATGTGCTGATGTATTAGGATAAAGAAGATAACATATTTTCAACAGTGGAATTGCGGATACTGTGTACAATCCTGGTAAGGAATAGTTTTGTATGAACACCTTCATTTGCACCTTTAATATTCTTCTCCTGATGTTTTTCTGTACATAAATCATAACCACATTTGTGGGATGACCTTTTCAGTACCTGCCTTTTCATCTGGTCTGCTCACATTTCAAAAGAACAGTGGCTTTCATCTCCTGCAGTCCAGACCTAGTGCTGATCAAGCATATTATGGAGCTGCACAAAGAAATTACAAATAATACAAACTTGAGAACCAGCTTTATACTGGTGTGATCTATTTAGCATTCACAGTCAGAGCGATAGGATCAGATATGCTCAGATTCTGCAAATCAAAAGTGCCATGACTTTCATGTTACACTTAAAAAATATTATTACATTGAATGTATCCTCCAACAATACACCTAGATATCACTGGAAGTTAATTCCTCTCTGTAGCAGGTAATGTGTAGTTTTTGCTGGTACTCTCTGTTCACTTGGGACAGCTGCCTCCACACCATGAATATGCACAGCATCAATCTGCCACTGAGAATCATTGTGAGAAATTCCAGTTTGCAGTAAACATTCAATAGTTCACTGCTGACTTAAAGGATTGATGGGCTTTGAGAAAGCTCAGGACCAGAGAGAGTAAAACCCCCCCTGTTCATTTTCAGAGCAGCCTGTGAGACAGAGGGCACAGGAGGGAATGGAGATGTGCTCCTTGTCTTTTAGGCCACTCACTTCCCTCCATTCAGATCCATTATTCCAACACCAAAATGAGTTTCTACAACACTGAGCAGACACAAGACTCAGTGTCTGTGACTTTCAAAAGTCAGACTTTTTTCAGTTATCTGAATAAAGCCTGTCACTTACTTTTCATGTTAACTTTTTGTAAGTGGTGGAAGAGTGTACTGAACAAGCGATTCATTTACTGTCACGTCCATCAGTGGCAGACTCATGAAAAGAACATGTGAATCCTGGCTCAGAATGTCCTCCCTCCCACTGGCAGATGACACTGCCTCGCCCAGTGACAGTCCTGTCACTGAGCAGTGGCTTTAGACCACTTCTCATGAACCCTTGTACACACTCCCCAGCAAGACCTTGAATTTCTTCTTAACCCTGCTGTTACAATGCAAGTACAGCAAATCCTCATCTCGCAGCTGCCTCGTATGAAAGTGAAATGGCATCAGCTGTTTGCCAGAGGGATGACTCTAAGACAAAAGCAAATCTCGTGTGCACTGCTCTTTGCTCAGGGAACCATTTGATAGGAATGCTTGTTTCCTTTAAAAGCTGTTCTGATGAGGTTCAGTAGATTAAAGAATATTTGCTGGCAGAGCCAAGGCAGCTTTTCACAGCATCATAAATCACTGATGTAAAGAAACCAAAACACAATTCCTTCCTTTACAGGTGAGATGAACCTTGAAGAGTATTTTGCAAGAACTGGCTATAAAGGCTCCACTGAAAAACAAGATTTGGAAACCTTAACCGATATATTCCAGCATCACATCCGTGCTGTTCCCTTTGAAAACCTCAGCATCCACTGCGGGGAGAAAATTACTTTGGAGTTGGAGCACGTTTACAACAAGATTGTGAGGAGGAAGAGGGGTGGATGGTGCATGGAAAACAACCAGCTGCTGGGCTGGGTGCTGAAGGGCCTGGGCTATGACACCAGCTTCCTGGGAGCCTATGTGTTCAACCCCCAGCAGAACGCCTACGCCACCCTCATGACCCACCTGGTGGTAAAGGTGGTCATCAATGGCAAAGCCTACATCGTTGATGGAGGCTTTGGGGTGTCCTACCAGATGTGGCAGCCCATGGAGCTCGTGTCAGGGAAAGACCAGCCCCAGGCTCCCGGCGTGTTCCGCTTCACGGAGAAAAACGGCGTCTGGTACCTGGAGAAAATGAGACGGAAACAATACATCCCCAACCAGAGCTTCTCCAACTCTGACCTGCTGGAGAAGAAGGAGTGTCGCAAGGTTTATATGTTCAGCCTGGAGCCACGGACAGTGGAAGATTTCCGTTTCCAGTGCACATACCTCCAGACCTCTCCAGATTCCCTCTTCACAAAGAAGTCCATCTGTACCCTGCAGACCACCGAGGGATTCCGGGCGCTGATTGGGTGGACGCTCACTGAGACCACGTACAACTACAAGGAAAACATGGATCTGGTGGAATTTGTAACTCTTGAAGATGAAGAGGTGGAAAAAACCCTCAAAGAGAAATTTAACGTCACCCTAGAGAGAAAACTTGTCCCTATTAATGTTAAAGGGTCTTACACAATCTAGATGGCCAGGAAGACCTACAGTAATGCTATGTGGGTACAGCAGCTTCCACTGTCTGTGCAATCTCTACTGCAAGGTTATGGGATTCTTTTGCAGGTGACTGAAGGATATATACATTAGTATGAGATTAATGTGAATTTCACTTTGGGAAAAATCAGGGATTTAAGACTCTTGAGTCAGTTAGGTAAAATTATTTGCTGGGAGATGACTGCCGTTCAATTTTTGGCACAAATGTAGGATTTGATTTGAATCTGGTTATAAGCTTGGGTAAGAAATATGTCTGGGGAATTTTGGACTGCCTGTAGCACATGAGTATGGATTATTAATTGTGATATGCTGCCAACACATTTTCTAAGGTTATTATAGGGAGACAAGTAATCTGTGAGCATTTAGACAAGAAAGCACACATTTAAAACTTCATTTTTCACAAGATCAAACCATTCACAGCTCATCTCATCCCTCTACCTTTAATATGAGTAAAACATTGTCATCTTGGAAAAGAGCATTAGGAGGCATAATTCTTTCACCATCATCCTTAGACAAACCATAGTACAAAATGAAAATCGTCATCATGTGCATCCCTCTGGCCATTACTGCAGGAAACTGCCCCAAGTAATTTTTGGTATGTACTATTCTTCTGGTGATGAAAATTCTATATATTGCAGTGTATTGTGGCTGATGGGCTCTAAGGAGATAACTACTAAGCTTTGTTTCTGAGATATAATCATCCTGTAAACTGCGATTAGTACTTAAATGTCACAGCTGGCTTAGATTTACTTCTGTCCCACAAGGGGTGGAAATTCTGTACTTTTAGGACTGCCTTGTCTTTGTATATGAAGCTAAGCCAACTATGCCCTTAATTTTGTCCTGCAAACATGAGTATCTGCATGGCTGTCCTGAATGGGTACCACTTAGCACAGGAGCTTTAATGTCCTTAGTGTTTGTTCATCTGTATCAAAGTGACAAAACAACCCAAGAAGCCAGCCAAATCTAAAGGAAACCTTTTCTTTTTTCACAGTCATGCTTCCCCATTTTCCAGAAAATGTTGTTCCTCCTACCATGCTTCTCTGCAAAATGCCCAACCAAGGAAACCACTAAGAAAGAGGAAACATTCTTAAATGATTTAAAAAAATAGCAAAAACACCGAAACACACTCTTTCTCCTCAGTCTGTAATAAGCCTGAGTATCAGTCAAAGGTTGATTCCTCCCACTGAACAGTCTTTCTGCTCAAAGACATGATCTGATCATTAATCTCACAAATGCTGTAAGTGTATACCTGAAAATAAATAAAAGGAAAATCAAGACATTATGAGTTGTTTTAGGAACAGCTGCCCCCAGCTGCACTGACTCCTGCACACCCCATCTGCCAAGTGAGGGCTGTTCACTCATGCTGCTGATCTGCTGACCACCCTTTCCCACCTCAGACTTCTTAGGATCACAGGATCACTGAGGCTGGAAAAGCCCTTTAAGATCATTGAGTTCAACAAGCAACCCAACATCACAACCATGTTCACCATTAAACTCTGTCCTTCAGGTGCCACTTCCAGGGATGGTGATCCACCACTACCCTTGACAGTCTTCCAGTCCTTTCCAACCCTGTGAAAAAACATTCCTCGTATTTAATCAAAACCTTCCCTGGCATAACTGGAGGCCATTTCCTGATATCCCGTCACTTGTTACCTGTTCCTTGGAACCTGTTTTCTGACACTTCTTGAACTAAACAGGCCAGTATTGAACAAATGCAGCAGTGGTGCTGGAGATGGTGAGTTCCTACAGGTAGCTGGAGGAAAAGGTCACAGGCTGAGGAAGATGATCACTGAAGAGGAGGCCCAGGAGCCATCTCTGCTGGGCTTGGTGTGTGCCAGCTCCTCGTGTGACCACCCATGGTGGCAGCTCATGGCCTAGGTGCACACATGGTTGCACAGGGATAAGGAACTGAGAGCCAAGAAGAGGTGACAGGGGACACTGAAAGATCTTACTGAGGTCAGAACACAGACAGCTTCTCTGTTAATAATGGAATGGTGGAATTTGTTCAGTAATTTGTGTTCTGTTATTCCCTCACATTCATGTCCCATTAAGGGTTTTTGCCCCTTTCTAAATAATTGAACATGACAAGGTGTTCCCTGCAGACCTCAGGGAACATTACAAGCTTCAAAACACTGGCCATCTCCATTCCATCTGATGGGATTCTCATTTACTCAGCTCACCAAACCACATTTCTCTGTGCCATCAACCCCAGCTGTTTTCTTGTCTTGAGGACAGCCATTTACAGGGTGGTAATTTGCCTCCCAACTTCCCTAGGGGTTTTCCTGCTGTTTCTCCCAGGTAATTGTTTGGATTTTGGTACACAAGGGTTTCTTGGGGATCAGTGGGCTCCTGTCAGCATTTAACTGGGCCTGCAGTGATGGGACTCACCCAGCTACCCCTTCCACTGCTTGGTTCTTACCAAAGATCTACAGAGCTGCTGGTGATTGAGGCTCCAACCATCTCCCTGACTCCCATCTGTTAATTTTTCATCTTGACGTGACAATTACAAGCAGGTCCTCACTGAGAAACATGAAATCACACAAAGAAATGTTAACACATGCAGCTAAGGAACAGTTTCACAGTTTAACTAAAGCTTCCCAAAAGCTGATGAAAGCAGGTTATTGAGGTGTGAATGCCAGGCCTGAAACCCTCAGAGGCTTGAGATGAGAATGGTGCAAAACCAAACAAAACCAAACAAACTCTGAGGCCTCATGCTGGGGTTCCATTAGCAAGGCAGCATTGTGGAAGCTGATGTTCTCCCAGACTGGAAAGAAAACAAACCACCAAGTCCTTAAAGCATCAGCTCTCACAGAAACTTGAATTCACATGTGGTTGGGAGCTGTGGGATGGCTGCCATCCTTCCCTACCATGATGCTTCATTAGCATTCTCAGAGAAGGGTTTAATGAGAGCCTAAATGATTTTGCAGTTTTAGTTGGGGACTGTTGTTCAAATGAAGCAAAACAAATGCTGAGAAACCGCCCCCCTCCACCCCCAGACGCATCTAATTCCAAATACAATTTAAAAGCATGGTATTCCAATCAAGAGAGAGACAAACAATTTCTTTTAAAGCCTGAACACTGGATGAAGTCCCAGAATCCCAGCCCAGCTGCCCATCACACACACAGGCAATGGCAATGACAGTCACCCGTGGCTGGAGCATTGCATCATGGAGTCTCATTAGAGAACAAGGCAGAGCACAAGAAACATGGTTCAAACTCCACAGCACCACTGAACATCCTGCCCCTCCCCAGAACCAAAGTTTAATCAGCTCAAGCATTACTAAATTCACACTGGATGGCTCACTTCTGTTGGACTCTGTCCTGGACTTTTTAAGATTCAATACTAAGCAAAATAGAAGCAAAAGAGAAACATCAGCAAGAAAGACAAAGTTGTTCAATACTTCCATATTCTCAAGCCCAGCAGTTATTACAAAATAAGCACCAAGAGCCTGCCAAAGGGAGGGACCAAACATCACATGACAAGGGACAGACATACAAGAGCTGTCAGTGACCACTACTTAAAACCACACTTCACTTCTGGTGTCTGGTAACACTTTACCAGTTTGCAGGTAGCCATTTTCTGTAACAAAACCACAACTTACCCAACTTGCTTCTGTTTCCAGAGAAGAAACACTTTCATTTAGAAACATGACCTCGTGGGAAAGTGCTACAGCTTAGGAGCTTGCACATAAAATGTACTGGAGCCTGTGTCAGAGCCAAGAAAGTCTTAATCAATGCAGGTTTGCTTTATGAATATTTCACTGCTATGCTTACACCTCTGTCAAGAGTAGTTCAAGCACAGATTTTATACAGCACAATGTTTCTACCTCAGGTAGGAAGCTCAAGTCAGACTTAAATCCATCCATAAATGTATTTATACCATTGGAAATGCAGACAGGTATTTCAGAACATCCCACCATGTCTGCTTGTAACTCTGTACTTAAAGTATATTTAAAAAGTCACACAGGGCTGAGTTTTGGTTTTGTCTTGCTCACAAAAACACACTATGGATGGTGCTTTTAAAGGCATATTTTGCAAATGCCCCATGAATAAAAGATTGTGCTAAAAATAGTAGCTGATTTTACTGTAGCACTGAGCCACCAGCTGAATGTGAACAGCAAAGCTCCCAGATTTAAAGACAATAAACTAAAATCTACCTTTTCTTCACAGTTTGTTCAACACAGTTCTGTTGAAACAGAACCAACTTTCCTCTGTCCCAATTCCAAAATCGTGGATTTTCTAGGAAACTGTTTAGCTTCTCATGTGCTTATCCATGCACTGTGGCACTCTCATGTCCAGCTATCCCTCAGGGAATGATGTGAAATTAAGGAGGCAGAATGCCCTTAATCAGAATTACTCCCCACTGGACTGAACAGATCCTGCAATGCAGGAGAGCTCTCTGCAGAAGCCTGAAAAAGGAAGACTCCACATAGAATCCATCTCAGCCACTGCTGTTACCAAAATAACCAAAAAGCTTCTTTCCATGGCACCACTGGACACTTGCCCAACCCACAGCCCCTCAGGACATGCAATTGCAGTGACATCTCCTGGCTGCTGGTGGCTCACCAGAACACACCTCACCCCTCAGTTATTCAGCACAGCTATGCAGAAATTCACTCTCCATTCAAGAAATCCATTCAGAGGAATCATTTTCCTACTAATAAGCAAGAAGAATAATGGGATGTATTCCAAGTTTTTCTTGTGATGACCAACAATAAATCATTTCATAGCTCAGGTCACATCTTCCATGGGAAGAAAAATGTCTTGCCATCATTAACTCCTTTTCAGCTAGCAGTAATATATGATCAAGTTTTAAGTAATTGAACCAGTAGCATTTAATTAGCTCTGAAAAACTATCTCAGATCATGAATCACAGCCTTTCCACCTGCACAAAGTCCCCTTACTAGGTTAAAAGTATATTTCTCTTTCCATGTGTGATCCATCTTGAATATCTAATTAGGTGCTCCTGATATATGGATCATAGTTCATGTATCACAAGCAAAATACAGCAGACACAGTGTCCTTCTTTAAATAATTGAGTTTCACATCTTGTTTCACTGAGCTGTTAAAAAAAGACAGAAAAATAGCCTTGTGCCCATGGCAAAATGACCACTCCTCACTTCAATTAACAAATTCCTTTCTGCAGAAAGCCAGCATTAAGGATGAGTAGCTTGGGCATCCTGAGGAAATGTAGCAACAGCAATATTTCTTGTTGAAAGGCTGTGCACAAAGAATTGCTGTGATTTTAGACAAGAACACACTGATGTTTTTCAAAAAACCCAGAGCACCAACTGACCAAAGAGAACTGTGTTTCTATCCTAATATTACTTCAGATGGCTTCATCACATGCTAAATAAATCAGTGCACTCAGCTAAATGTTGGGGGACATCTGTGGCCAGCACAAAAACAGGATCTCTCCTTGTATCAGACTGTATTAAGCATAATTTTTTACACTAAATAAACTAATCCACAATCATTAACACAAAACCCCACAGTTTTTATTCTGCTTTCAAGTGTGTTTCTGAAACTGTTATTATGCTTTTATTACAAGACTTACATAATTATAAGATTGGATTTTTTTGCTGAAAAAGAGGCAAAATTAGCAAATTTCTTTTGGAAGGCAGAAACTAAGATTCACAATCTGCTAAGATGTCAAACTGTAAACGTTGCCCAATATTTGGCTTGCTGTATATAAAAAAAGTTTCACTACAAAATCCTCTATTTTTAAATAAACTTTATAAAAAATAAAATTCAATACAGTGGATTTTATCTCTCTGTTCTTCTCTCATCTTATTTTCAGCACAGTAAAAAAGATCACAAACCAAGCATGTTTCTGCTGACTTTTTTCAATTTGAAGAGAGCGCAGGTTTCATTTTCATAATAAAGCAAGCAGTGAAAGCTGAACTGCCTTATTGAATTGGACACAGCTCATCTTTACTCCAAATACTTCTTTCAGATGTTATCCTAAACTGTAAATAACATTGCTTTTGATTGCATGCAACACTCAATTTAACTATGCAGAACATTTAAAGAGACTGATGGGATGAGCGCCCCACTCATGAAAAGCTGCTGAGAGAGGAAAGGATGTACAACATCCATTATATAAACACCCACTTTGGAAAGTGTCTGTCCTGTGGATGGTAGAAATTTCAATGAGAATAGAACAGATTTACAAATCCACACTTTACATTAAATAGCAAAAACTCCAAACAATCTCCAGTTCTTGGTACTCTGTTTGGTAGGCATTAGGTAACAAGCTCCACTTGTGCAGTTGACATTAATCCTGAGGTTTTAAGAACATTTTCTTAGCTCTTTTACTAGGTCTTGCATTACTATTCCCCTCTTCAACTTCATCATCTTCATCTTCATCATCATCCTTGAGTACACGTTGGTCCCTTTTTCTCAAAAATTTCTTCCCTATTGTTCCCACTAATGTTTCATATCTGTAGAGAATAAAAAAAAAATACACCTTCAACTAAAATCAGGGGAAAAACTGTGGTGCATCTCCTAAACATAATCAACAATTCAAGGGGTGCAAAAAAAACCTGGTCATTAAAAGGCTTGGAGAAACACAAGTACTGCATGACTTATTACATTATTATTCACTCATAGTTTCAATTTGTTAGTAGCTGGTGACAAGGAGGGAATTAGAATGGAATACCCCGATATCAAAGGGCAAAAAACCCCACAAGTGATGCAGAATTTACCCCCAAATGCATTGGATATTCAAGTGAAAATACACCAACATTCCTGGAAAATCAATCTGGTACAGTTCCATATCTATTGTGGGCTTTTTAAAAAGTTTGTTTGTTTCATTTTTGGGTTTTATTTCCCCACACATAATACACTAACACATCATATTCCTAGCTAGTACTGATTATGTCATAAAATGTAACTTACCTTCTGGCCATTTCTTCATCTGACACATCAGCCTCCATTTTATCATCCTCTTCAATTTTTTCCTCCTTGCACTTGGAGTTCATTTGGATCATTAACTTCTGAAAATGAAGTGAGAAACAGCTTAAGCATGTAACCATGACACAATGGCAACAGTGCTGAAATTCACTGGTAGAAGAGCATAAGAGGTAAGAACCAAATTTAGTAATTATTTTCTGTTCCTGGTTAGGCTAGAGCCCATCATTATGAAAACTCATGAAGAAAAGGCAACAGAGACAGTGTTTCAGTGTATTGTACTACTCAAACATCCTAAAGGGCACTCCCAACATCTCCAGGAGACCAGATCATAATTAATTTTTCATTGTGATGTTAGCACACAGACCTTGAAATGGTTTTGTAAAAAAGAAAGAATATCTTCAAGCATTTACAGTAAAAGCCATGAAGACATCATATGCTCTGTCACAGAGACAGCAAGTTCACAGTAACTAAAAGAATTCTCTAGTAAATTACCTTACATGGCCTTCTGCAAATCTCTCTTTACACCTTCACCCTCCTGCTTCAGGTTCAGTGCTAACTTTTTTATTCCTGTCCCTGTGTACTTCTATCAGCATGAATCATGCCAGAAAGAAATTAAAGACTCTTGCCCAGCATTTTTACTTTGGAACTCTAAGCCCTTATTGATACAAGTAAGTATTGAATAAATAGAGTTGAATGTTTGTAGATTGGACTCTGCATTCTATGTCAGGAGGAAAAGTGAGCTTTTGTTTTGGTGAGCAGCATGTGAGATGGCTTCCTCACTTCAGGGAGGGAAAGCCTGCAGGAGTCTGCAATTACTGACCAACAACACAGGGAGCTAAAAAGATTCCATTTACCAGATGCTGCACTGATCAACATTTAGGGTTGAATGATGGAGTTTTGGGACATGGGAGGGTTCATGGAAGGTGCTGCAAAGGCCAATAAGGCTGCAGGGTGAACACTCAAATCCCCATCCCCAAGGGCTTCAATCCTAATGTGAGACAACCTCAAAGCAGGACACTGAAATGGTACCTCGATTTCAGGATTGAATCCTTTGAAGGACATTCTGCCATAAACGAGATCCTCACATCGCAGAAAGCTTCTCTCTTCTATTATACAGCTCCTGAAACCCCAATCCCAGCATTCTGTCAAACCATGCACTTTAAAATAATCAAATTAAACAAATGCAAAAAGGATGTGCTGTCTTCCCCCCACACAAATAAACAAAACCACAGTGTATTTTAAACCATCAACTGCTTTCTGCTCAATTGCCCTGATAAATCTTTCAGTACAAAGAGCTTGGAGTGCAAAGGAATCTTCTTTGCCAGCAAAGCTGTGCCAGTTCCACAAGCAAAATTAACTCTTCTGACAAAAAGCACTCTTTGCTGGTATGGTTCTGCCTACATTAATACTTTTACCAGAATAAAAATACCACATAAATATCACTCCCCAGGTGGCACTACTATACCAGCAAAAGCTCCTAATTAATTTTTCATTGTGCTGTTGGACCTGGCATTAGTTGAGTCTGTCAGGGTATAAAACACTGTGTCACTCTCTGTTCAGCAGACAGATTTCCCCCTTCTTCCTCCTTTTTTTCCTCTTTTAATGAGCATGGAGTGAAAAAAGAAACATGGCCCTGAGGCATTCATAATACACGTGCCAGATAAAAGTACTTTGGTGGATTGTTCCATCCTTTTCCTCACACACATGTACCTGCTCCCTCATCCTCTTCATCTCCCATGTAAATCAAACCCTCATGATCACAGAACTCAGGCTGAAGAGATTGAGCTCATTGTCCTGCCTTGAGGCAATATCAGTCACACATGTGCCATGAACAGCAGAGGTCCAGCTAACCTGTCCTCAAAACTCTTCTCATGATGAAGGATCCAGTGTCTCCTCAGGCAATCTACTCCAGAGCTTCAATAGCCTTATTGTTACAAAAGTTCTCCCAATGTCCAGCTTGAACACTCCTTGCTGCAACTGAAGCTCAAATACCTTTTTGTCATATCCACCAAGAGTAATGGAAAAGAGTTATCAATGGCCTTATTCAGCTACAGTCAATTCCTTGGGTCCCAGCTTTTTCAAAACTATCTATGTTCTCCCTCAGTGGAATTTTTTTTTCACTTTAGAAAGGATGAAACCCAAGCAATTTCAAAAGTAGTTCTCCTGTTATTTAAGGCACCTTTCTAAAGAGCAGGACACATTTCCTTATTAGCTAAGCCTTCCTTTATTTTTGCCATTAGCCCTCCTATTTCAAAACCAGGATTTGAAGTGAGCTGGGCACAAGAGGACAGAACTGTCCTGAATCAACTTAACCATGTGTCTGGAGCTGAATTTATTAACACAAGGTTCCAAACTTTGTTTCTAATGAAGGGGAAAAGCAACAATGAATGAATTGCACCCTGACTGAAAGAAACTAATTGCAAGCATCTAGAAGAATGTGTGAGTGAAAGAAAACAACATACACAAGAATTGAAAGTAGGTCAAACTACACTAGGGAACCTCAAGAACAGCCCTAAAAATAAGTAATAAAAAAGTTGTAATGCCAGTCTGTCACTATTTTTGCTTCTGTTAACTGGTTATTTATAATACTTATCTTACAGGAAAAAATATGAATCTGCTATTTCCATTTCAAAACAATCCAATGACGATAAGAAGTACAAAAGATTACAAGCTTACTCTTTTTCCTTTAGATCTGGTACATCAAGATACCAGTGTTCTTCACTAATTATCTTCTTTTCTTCTTCCTCTAGTTGTTTTTTAGTTTGTGAATCCAAACCCCTTTGCATGAACTACAAAGAAAGACACAAACACACAGTTCAGTTTTCTGCATCATGAGTATCTTCTGAACATGCAGTAATTACATGATAGCAATTATCCATTACATAATGTTTAGCAGTTGATACAAAGTAAATGTTTTTTGTGATTTTTTTTCTCTGAGTTTGGTCAAAGTTTGTGCAAACAGACAATGGAAAATTAAAACAGCTGCTGATCACAGCTATCCACTGAAAGTTAACAGTCAGTCACACCTGGACTTACATACAAAGAAACAGAGCTGTCCTAGCTAGTTTTGATGGATTGGAGTCGTCACAATTCCCTAATTTTAGTGACGCTTTTCTAATGTTTCAGTAAAGGCCAGAAAGAAGATAATGGTGTTGAAGTTATTGCTGCACATCAGGAACCAACTCCACCCATACAAACAGCACTGGAGCTCAGAGCTGGAGGTGGCTCATACCAGGCTGGGCCTTTTTTTGAAACATCTGTACTTTCAACCATCCTCTTCTTTTCTCAGATTTAATGAACTGGATTGTGTTTAGCTCTGAAGGTACAAACCTGCCTTTGGAAATGGAAAAATGTCAGAGTTTGAAAGCAGACTATGAGGAAAACTCCTCTGTATCCAGCTGTGCTAAAGGAAGATGTTCCCAGCTCCTCAGTTCTCACTGACCCACTGGGTGGATTTGTAAAGTTCTGGTCCAGCACTGTATTCAAGGATCTGCTAACCCTCTGCAGGAACAGTCTGCCAAAATAGCTGAGACCAATAATCAAGTTTAGGGCAAGTTTCTATTTTTTCCTAACACAAGGACACTCCTGTCACTGGCTTCCTTGGTGATAACTTCTGTCAGAGGATGGGAACAGGCAGGTAGGAACAGCAACCTCTCAACAGCTGGGAGCAGAAAAAGACATCTGTCAGAGCCTATAAAAAACTGCTGAGAGCACAGAACTACAGACCTGAGGCCTGTGAAACAGCATTTTAATTTCCATTTGTCTTAAGTCAGGTGCCTGAACTGAGTGACAATGAAGTCTAAACAATGTCAATGAAACATGGTAGGAAAAAGCAGAACTCTTGAAAATTTTGTGGTGATAACCCATATAGTCACACCTCCCTAAAAGTTGGGACCTTCCTGAGGATCTACAGAAAGTGTTTGGATAACTGTACCTGTCAGAAGTCTACATTTATACCAAGCTAACTCCCAGACAGAGGCAAATCTAACAGTACAGTTCACACACAGTCCTGTAAAAACATACAGGTGTGCAATGTATGTATTACAAACAACCCACACATCTCCAGTCTTTACAAAATGCCCAACCAAACCAAACTCAGAAGCCAACAGAGCTAGTGCTTCATTTTCTGTTTCTATTTGCATCCACTGTACAAGATCTTTAATGAAAGAAAAATTGACTTCTGCTTTCTGAGTCGATTCAGAATATGTCAAAGCTTTCCAATTAAAATTACAGTATCTTCTTGAGGAAAATAAGTGAATCTGTCATGTGGAAAAACATATTGCTCAAGGAAATTGGTTAGCCAGTTGAAAATCTCAACACAAGAAATTCTGCTACAAGAACCCAATTAAATAATAATTTCACACTCCATTTTAAAGATTATGTTCCTGAAGATTACTACAGGAAAAACCTAGATAGAAATTATGTGATCAGGTTTCTCTCGAATGTAAACACACACTGATGAATTAAAAATATATCAGTTGTGGTAGGCACAGAATGTGCAAGTCAGGAGGAGCTGTTTGGGTGAGTTTCCCCAAGCTATGAGATCTGGATCAAATGGTGCAAAATCTAAAAGTGTGTCTCCATGTGGCCCAGAATTTACTGCAAAGGTCCTTCCAACACCACTCACCACCTCTGGGTGCCACTGCACCCACCTGCTGAATGCTGCCAATACATTGGATCACTACCTGCAGAGGCAGCTGCTAAAGGCTTTATTAAAACATTTGTAAACAGGAAGATCTGCAGAAACAAAGTGCTAAATGCAAGATCTGTGTATGACCTTTTCAAAACCTTACTGATCTCTTCAAAGCTGGTTATTACTGCCTGGACTGTGAACCTGCAAATGTCATGGCAGCATATTCACATGCCTGGTTCTCCATGGCCTTCGAGAGGAAAACAATCCAAAAACCTGCTTTTGAAATCTCCAGGGGGTTAGTATACTGGCAAACGAGAGAAAGAAAAATTTCATTTTAAAAGTGTATTATATAAAAATAAGAAAAAATAATGCTGCTGCCATCCAGGTTATGGGAGTCTGTATCACACATTGCTGGCTGACTCAGTTCAACACCTACTCCCTTTAGAGAGAGAGGCAAGATGTATTTTGTTCCTTATGTGTACAAGTTTTAGATTTAGAAGCATCTGTTAATTAGGGTAAATATTCCATCATCCAACTGTAGCAGAGTGCACTTTATGTGAAAAATTGAACTGAAGTCAGCTAACTCTTTTCAGCCAGAATGTGAAATATAAGCCCATATACGTCGGGAAAAAAATGGCTAAATAAAGCACCACAAGCAAGAAGCCACAAAGGCCCCATCATGTTCAGTTAAAAAATTGAATATTAACATAAAAAAAAGTACTCAACTTTTCCTGGTTGTTTTCCAGCAATAAAGGACCATCAATCAGAGAACGTACACGGTGTGAAGCAGAATCCATTAGCCAGTGAGCAGAGACTAATTTCATACTGGTGACATGAGATTCACAATTCCAAGGGTAATAAGTACATCGGGATGTTCCTAAGATCCCAGGCTTTTATGAGTTGGGAAAGCTGGTTAATATTAGATGTTAATCCCCATTCAGGCTAGGATTTCCTTAGCCAGCAATGCAAATAGGGTAAAAATGAACACACCAAAACTTTCTTTTCTCAACACTAAAAGCCCCACCCCCAAGCAAAGCAAGTAGCATTGATATTTTAATTTCAATGTCCCGTTGAAATATTTTTATTTACATTCACAACAAACAACCCAGCAGCAGAGGAGCGAGCTGGAACCAAAGCACTCCCAAAAGGTGCGCTGGAGCTGGGGCCAGGCTTTAGCTGGAACCATGAGGCTGCACCGAACCCTGCAGTTTGTAACCCCCGCGTTCGAGCAGCTCGGTGCCGCCATCAGTGATTTACTGCCGGGGGAGCAGCCCATCGATAAACACATCTGTTTATCCGGAGCGTGGCTGGCCGGCAATGGGCACGGCAATGCCCCACACCAGGCTCCGGGACGGCCGCGCGTGGCCGGGGATGCGCAGCCCGGCCGCGCCTCACAGCACCGGGCCCCGCTCGCCATCGGTGCCCGGCCCTGCTGTCCCCGCTTCCAGCCCCCCTGCAGGCCTCCGGCTCGCCCTCCCCTCCTTCCCCCGTCACCTTCATGCGCAGCAGGTTCTTGGACAGCTTGGTTTTCACCTCGCCGGCCATGGCGGCCCGCAGGCCGCGGCGGATCCCCGCGCTCGCGTAGCGCCGAGGCCGCGCACGCCGCGGGAGGAGCGGGGCGAGGCGGCGGCGCGGCTCCACCCTCCGGCCGGGGGCGGCCGCGGGCACGGCACCCTGCCCACAGCACCCTGCCCGCAGCCCCGGGAGCTGCCGGGGCCGGGGGGTGCGCTGTGGTGGTGCAAAACCAGCGATAAAAATAAACTCTACGGCTGTGCGGGGTGAGGGAGATCGGGGGTGCGAGCAGGACATAAATCCGCTCGGTACGAAATGGCAAATCACTATGTGAACCTGACATGCCATACCCATGCTTGTGTGTTGTGTAGTACTGGCGGCTTACAGCTTCATCCATTATTTTCTGGTGTTTCTAAAAGAGAATAAAATACTTCCCACACTGACATTTGGAGACTGCTTGACTTTATAAGCACTTATTTTTTTACAATCAGCACTGACTTTTATTTTAAAAAAAATTTCAAACTGGTCAGATGTGATTAAAACTGGAAAGCACACAGATTCAAAGAGTCTCAAAGCTTTGTTAGTCCTGAATTGTGATTTATGAATTCAGTATTGGCAGTGCTGGTGTTGGACTGCCCCGCTGGGCACTGGGAGCTGAGGAGGAAATCCTGATCGGGAATTGCCAGCTGACTCCCAGTCAGAAGCATGTACCACAATTTCTCTATATATCCTCATAAATCAGATTTCTGATGCCTGTTTTGACATTTGGCACATAAACTGGGTGATAAAGCAATAAGAGTGAGGGCTCAGTGTTCAAAACTTTAATGAACTGGTGTGCTCCAAAAGACAATTTAGGGAGAAAAGTTCTCATATATGCAAGATGTAGGTCAAAGCTTGAAGAACTCTAAAGATTTATGTTCTAATAGACTCCACAGAAAGGTATAATGAAGGACAAAACCTGATTGCAGTGGGAAAGGAGGGAGAATTATCCACATCCAGGCATCCTTATTACACATTTAAGCTCAGTGGACTAAAATGACCACAAATGCCAATGAAACATGGAGCCACAAATGCTTCAAGGCAAAGTCATAACACTGCGTGAAAATATTTAATTTTCATGCAGGGAAGGCACCTTCATTCCCAGGCTCTGTAAATGAGTTGAAGCTGCTCTGAAGTTCAAGGCCCCAGTGAGAAAGTCACATTGTGAGTGTGCCAGCTAAGTTGTTTTGCTCCTTCTCTGTTCCCTTTCTCATTAACAGCTATCGTCCCTTTCCAACAAAAGAAGGCTGGGAAGAAATTTGCCATTTTCTGAATACAAATGTTCATCAAAGAATGAATATGTTTGAATCTTAGCGAGCAAACCAATAGGGGAAAGCTGTTAATTAATGTAATGGCAGAGTACAGCCAGAATCTGTCCATTTTTGGTGTTTTGTTCTATTTGCCGTGCATTTTAATAATGCATTTACTTTTTGTTGATCATTGCAAATCAGAGCCCTGTGTTCAATTGCATGACCTTCAACGTCAGGGCTTTTCTGAGCAGTTTCGGTTCATTTACAGTGCAGGAATGTACTTTGAATGATTCCTTCTAAATACTGTGCTCTCCTCAGCACTCCTGCAGCCACTGAGCTGTGGTAGTGCGTGCCTTTGCTTGGTGGCCTTTCCAAGAGCTTTCTGTCCCTCCATCCTGCAGAACAGTCCAGCCCAACAATTCCTCAGCAGACTCTGCTCACAGCCTGTTTGGGATTTGGGCACTGCACACAACAGCTCCTCTCTGCTTCTGTTGAGAAGCAGCATCCTGCCCCCAAATTCTCTGGGAGCTACAATCTAATAATTTACATCATCATGCAGTGATGTATGAGATGAGGAGAATGCAAGGAATTTTCACTTTATCTAACCATGAAGATTATTCCTGGCACTCCCTGCTCCAGGAATAATCTGTACCCCGTGACTTGGTGCTGCACCCCAGGCTTGCACAGAGTTTCTCTCACTGTCTGTTGGCACATCAGCTAAAATCCTGCCTTGATACAGGCAGGGAGAAGCATTTTGCAGTAAAAGCAGTATAGGTTCTGTGATGTTTATTTAGAAAAGTGGGGATTGTAAAAAGGCTGCCAAAAAATTTGATCTATTTTGGCAGTAAAAAAGCCCAAAGGAAATTTTTGGGTTGCATCTCCCATCACTTGAATTGGATAGGGAGGTTATAGATAACAATCAGCTGCCTTGTGGACCAGATTATACTGTCTGGTAAATGTGAAGACACTCCATTGATTGCAGTAGAAATTTTTATGATTTACTGGTGGTGGTGGAGGTAACTCAGAGAAGAATCCAGCCCTGTAAATACGCCTGCTTGTGGAGTGAGGGAGAGGAGAGTTAGGAGAGAAAAAGAAGCTCTCTATGTTTAGAGAAGAATTGAGGGTCATTGTAAATGACAATTAGACTCTCTCCCACAGCTGAGTGCTTCACAGCAGCTCCATTTTCAACCTAGAAATCAATTTCTTCTTCAAAACAAAAATACTCAGGAAATAACTTGGGGGAAAGGAGTTCCATCTCATCAAAGATTGTACATTAAACAAGCAGATAAAAGATTTTTCTTCCTAGGAAATGTGGTCCCTTCTCCCCCTAGTAATTACTGAAGTCAAATCGAAGTTGTCATTAACATTATTTAAGGAGTAATCTCTCTTGGAGCAACACATGTGGCAGCTGTGAAGTAATTTCACGCCAATGGGATCTAATTTGAGGGAACTCGTGGCTTACTTTTCCCATAATCTTTTATTTATTCATATTATTGTAGTAGTGTGATTTTAGTGCAAAACAGGTATCTCAAACCTTACAGCAACCTATCAGTTGATTTGATTTCTTATGAACTGTCTTTGAATTCCAAGGCAGCTTTTTCGAGCCCTCCGAATACCTGAAGCCCTTTTCCCCTCCTTGCAAATATCAAAATTCTTAAATTATGACAGACGAATCATTAATTTGTGTCAAACTCCTCCACTGTGTTTTAAATAAGCACATTAAGTGTTTTTCTCTATGAATGAGGAAAAGAACATGAGAAGTGGAGCTGCCGGAGGTCTGTTTGCAAACCTGAAGGAAGGTGTGAAGTGCCCTGGGGCTGGGTGTGATCAGGAAAGCAGTTTTGTCCCCTGTGCTCCCCATGGAGAGAGTGTGAAACTCTCCGCGTGGCAAAGGTGCTGTTCTCATGGGGAGGACTCGTTTCTCATCCCTGCTGCTCCCACCCCGCTCCGAGGAGAGCTGGAGCTGCCGGGGGTTTGTTACAATATTCATCACCTTTGATGTGCACTTGCACAACCTGTGCTGCTCATCCTCACCTCATCCACGGAGGAACCAGGGTAGCTCCAGCTCTCCTTCACACCGCACTGATCCAGCCTCTTTTGCTTTTTTGCTTTTCTGGCAGTGTATCTGAACTTAAGCTCCATTGTGCACCAGCCATACTGCTTGTAGCTACTCTTATCAGAGTTCTCTCAGCGCCCTCTGGAATGCATCAAGGTTACTAAGACATAAACTGTGTTAAATTAAGAAAGAAGAGGCTGAGAAACAGAATACCAAGACCACAAGGACTAGATAACAGAGGGCTGTGAAGCACCTGGACTGTAACCAGTCACATACTCTGAGAAGTGCAAGCAGAACACCTGGACAAGAAACAGGCACCAATGAAGAGGAGTATGATCAGCATGTGCAGTAGAGCTAGAATGTATAAATAAGTGTGTAATATAAACAATAAACATCTTCTGCCTAATCATATTGGTTAGTTGTACAGGAGTCCTGTTTCCTGCAGCAAATCACACACAGAGGGTGTTTTAAATCCCTGCCCCACGTTCTTCAGCTGACCATGGGTTTTCCTGTGGATGGGAATGATGTGGAAAGAATTACAGCCAGACTCCTGTAATTTGGGTAACACGGATATGTGAGCACAGTTTACGTTGCTGACTCTTTCCTTTTAATAGCCTTTAGTAGTTCACAATTTGTGCAGCATGGAAAGGTGCGTTTTAAAATTGTGCTCGTGGCAAAACAGTTACAAAATCTCCAGAACAATTAAGATGTGTCTTTGGAGAAAATGCCTGATGTCAGTTTGGGAGAGGACAGTTTGTTCTGAGTGCTTTTGGCTGGTCCAGTGACAGGGTGAGCTTTGTATGAATAAATAGAGTAATTCCTTTTTGATTACAGAAAGAGCCAGCCTCATAATGGCAGCTCTCTATATTCTGCCATCAGCTGAAGTGGTGGAGAGAACTCATGCTGGTCTGTCATTCTGCTGGCATGTGGAGAAGCCTAAATATTCGAAATTATTTGATATATGCCCATGTTAGAAGCCAGAGCAAAGAGAATGACGGTAGAACGGTGTGGAGCATCCTTCTCTTTGCTTTCCTTTAAAAATCAGGAGGCTTTTAACTTTTTGGATTTGAAGGAATCACAATTAAAAGAGAAAAAGAAAATATCACCCTCTGTTTGTTAACCATAAAAATGCAATCCAGCAGTGCTGCTGGTGCTTTGCTGTTT